CAGTGGGCCCAATTTTAGGCAGAGGGTTTAAATAGCTTATTTATTATTTTGTATAATCTGGCGTACATTATGTGCTCCTGCACGTGTCGTATTTCATGGTCTGCAGTTTCTAATGTCATGTGGGTTTCAAAACCTGTGTTTCTCTGGTAATGTACTAGCAGCAGGTAAGCTCAAAATACCATCCATCAGGAGCTAATTTTTTATCCAGATACTCCAATGACTGATGAACCTGTCTTTTGTATGAATGTTTAGCACAGTAGAAAGCCATATGCCACTGGCACAGTTTCCTATGCATCCTTTACAGTTGCTAGAGAGTAGGCTTACGGGGGAAAAACCCTCCACGCCGTTTATGGCCTCTTTCCTATATCTAAAGGATAACACCTTTAAAACAGCCCTGGTTGTGGACGACAAAAGAGGGTTAGGGACTGTCTTGGAGGAAATCTGACTCCCATAATCATTTTCTTTATCAGAAATATGACTGCACACTCTTAATAGGGAACCTTGTTTTGTTCCTCCCCGTCTGTTCAAAACAGACCTTAGCCCATTAGAAGGGCCTCCCTTGTGTGGGAAGACCACAGCTGTTACTGTAAATCTCATCCCGTCACTGTATCACCCCCATTTTGTGGCTCTGAAGGATGAAATTGAGAAATGGAATACTGTGCAGTCATCCTTTACATCTCCAATTTTAGGCCTTTGCCATCATTTTCATGCTTTTATTCCAAATCAAATAACATTAGTGAGCTACACCACCTTCTGATGAATATCTGGTCCTGAGCACAGCTTTCAAGTCTGTACTTTGGGGACTTCCTTTTATGTTTGGTGGAGATCTTTCTCCCCCCTTCTCTTCTCTTTCTCTTCGTGTACCTTCTTGGGGCTTTCTTCATGCGTTTGCAGTTTGAACTATACAAGTTGCCAAATGTGTCCCAGCCTTAGCATGTTGTCCCAGAGGGACATGTGCTGGAGAAGGTTCTGTGTCTTTTAATCTCTGGGGAAGGAGTAAAGCAAACTTGGTAGAGGATATTGGGGGCTTTAATCAGAAATAAGAAGTGGTTTAAATCATTAGCACAACAAAGCGGACTATAAGCTTGAAGATAAAAGTCTCTGGGGAAAGAGTCCTCTGAAAATAAATGGAACTTGATAGATTTCCATATCATTTATAACTTCCCTTAATTACACTTGGAATACTTGCCAGTAAAACTGGAAAATTGGCAGCCTGTATCCATCAGAGCCATTTTGCCGACCGTGGCAAGCAGCTGGCTTTACTGGATTTTATTTCCCATCACTCACAATTAATCAGCAGCTGGAGATGTCTGAAGCTCTGCAGCACAGAGAGCTGCGCCGGGTGACATTCAGGCCTCCCAAGCATGCTAAAATCTGCTGAGTAAATGGGCTGAGGTTTCTCCCCAGCTTACTCATTTTGGGGCAAGGCAGGCTCCCGCTTAATGAGTGCGCTCCGATAATCAGATGCGAATGTGAACCTTGACCCCATGTCAAAGGAGAGGACGCAATAAGCCGGATGAAAGATACAGGATTCAGACCTCCAAACTTTACACCAATTAGACAGGGAGCGGAGAAGTGCATCAGGCTGAGTAGGTTTATCAAAGAGACTTGCGAGGCTTGTGACCATTTTGTAAGCCCGATGTTGGAGACATCCTGTCACAATCATTAAGTCGTTATGCAGTGATTCACCAGAGTGTTGGGGAAGTGTGCGCCCACAAACCCTGCAGTGGCTGCACCCCGCGTGCGCGCTGTCCGAGGGAGACTTGGCCGTGGAGGCGCCCTCTCTGCTCACCCAGTTAATGTCCCCACTTTCTGAGCACACGGGGGAATCCAGGCGGTGTTTCCAGTGCCTTCCGGAGCTCGGGGAGGGCAGGGGAGGGTGCAGGCACCTCTGGACAAGGAGGCTTCCAGATTGTTGAGGTGAGAGGCCTGTGTCATTTTGTCTGGGTTATTGTTGGAACTGCAGCCCAGCAGGCTGGTGGAGCAGCCCCCAGTTACAGCCCCGTCTGTGTTCTTTGACGTACAGTTTGTACTGTATTTGCTTCCCTGACTTGGGTTTTTGAGGGATGAAATAGCTTGAATTTAGGTCAAGTTCACGCGTGTATATGTGTTTGCGTGCGTGCACGTATAACATGTTTCTGCTGACCGAAATGTGTCTCACTATTTGGTGGAACATCAAGGATCAACTTCCAAGAGTTTCTTTCTCTTTTAGGAACGAACGAGCAAAAGCAAACCACAAAGCATATTGCTGTGAGTGAACGGAGAAAGAGAAAAATGAATTACTTAAATTTCCACCAAATAGTATAAGTAGAGACCAGCAGAAACAGGGAAAGAAACTAGGGAGAGGAAACAGGAAAGAAAAGGACGACAGAGCCGTGAGGACGGTTCCAGATTCAGGGCAGCCGGCGCTGCCCGTCTGGCAGCAGATTGGCACTTCCAATCCGCAGGCACCTTCTCTGAAGCCCTTTCAATCACATTGCCAGAGTGACGCAATCTGAGAGAAGGGGGTGTTTTATCTGGGGGACTTGCCCACGTCTCCCGGATTGTCTCCGGCTAAATCAGAGGTTTTGTTTTTCTGATGGATGATTGGGGACCGACCACTCGCAGTTGCCTGCAAGTCACCTCTTTGCAGATCACCCTCGCCACAAGCACGCAGAGCTGCCAGGAAAGGCGGTCAGTGGACAGCGACAGTGGAGCCCCAGAAACTTCACGTCCATCTCCCACTGCTCCTAGGCTCTCGGGCCCTGCTCTCACTCACCTCCAGCCTGGCCAGCTCGAGCCTGGAGTGGGACTGTGGCCCGGGTCCTGGCCATCCTTCTGCGAGTTTCTTACGGGCATCATTGTCAGTTTGGTCTCCGCCCCCTTAGTGACCACTGGAAATCTCCCAGCTTCATTCGTTTCTTTTTCATAGTCGCGTTAACTGTGAATTCACTTACTTAAAGATCCCACAGAGCATTCTGGCCAGCAGCGCTGAGCAGTGGGCCGAGCAGCTGCAGGAGGGCAAGCTCAGGCCCGCCCGAGAGAAGCCCGCCCGAGAGAAGCCCGTGGGGCTGGGGCTGGGCTGGGGCTGGTCAGACGGGCCCTGGGCGCTCAGACGCCAGCACAGGAAGCCCGGCTGGGGGAGGGGGTGAGGCGAATGCACGCAGCCGCTCACTGCAGGCACTGGTCCATCGGGGAGGAAGGAGTTCCCAGAGCCGATCACTGATTGTTGGATGGAATTTCCGTGGCTGAATATCAGATCCATTTCCCAGAAAGCCACGGGCCCTGATGCCGGGATGCCCCGTCTCTGAGTGGGGATGCTGCTGTGTGAGGCCAGCTCTGGACACTCAGCCTCTGCCTGAGAGCCGTGTCCCGGGCCCGCCAGCATTTTGCGTGTGGAGTTTACACGGCAGGCGCTACTTCTGGGGACGTGCCCTCCTCCCATCTTGCCTGGTCCCTGCCTGCCTGCCTTTGAAAAAGGGAGAAAAAGGCTCGGAAATGACGCCTTGAGGGCTGGCTGTTCTGACACCCCAGCTGGGACCCGCGTTGCCCTGGAGCCTCCCTCACTGCTCTCCCTCTGCGTGTTGAAGAGCGACCCTAGCAAGTTAGTTCTCCGCTCTCTGGAATGTAGGTGCCAGGTGACGGTGAGTCACAAAGGGCCGCGAGCGCGTCGTGTGTGCCCAGCTCTCCAGCGCAGTGTCGCCTCCGTGCCAGCACCAAAGCTTTGGCATCCCCTCTCTTCCTATATTTCTGTGCCAGGAAAAAGCAGCCCACCACCTGATCAGCAGAGGAGAGGAACGCATAGGGCTCAGGCGGTCCCGATGCCAGCGAGACAGCTTGTGCCCTACGGGGGGCCGGGAGGGGGGCTTGGAGATCATCTGGGGATTTCAGGAAAGAACATTCTCCAGGCACTTCTGCAACGCTGGATGAGCACAAGGGTCCAGGAGCCCCACGCCAGGATGCCTACCAGCACCCCACACAGCCGGGTGCCCCAGGAAATTCAACTCTCCCATTTCAAAGACTTCAAGGCCCTTTTCACAAAGATAGGAGAAAAATGCAAGCCCAGCTCCTTGGTGCTTACCCATCAAGGGCAGAGAAAGAAGAATAGATACAAGGGCCTTTAGTCACAGCTGACTCCTGGGTGGGAGTCCCAGGTTTAACCCCAGGAGATTTATACTCAGCTCCGCCTGGAGTTCCCTCACCCCAGAAGGCAAACAGCTGAGCACGAAGCTTGAGCCAGTGCCCCTGGGAGCTACCGGCCTCCTTGCAAGGAATGGGTGGAGCTCCAGAAATCCCTTCCTGAAGGCGCTTTCTGGGAGCCACCGGTTGTCAGTCCTTGGCATGCCATGCAAAGGCTGGGAGAGCGGTCCCCATGGCCTGGGTGCTTGGCTGTTGTTCCCAGCCCCCCAGGGCTACGGACAGAAACTCCATTTTTTGCTAACAGCTTTACTGAGATAAAACTTCACAATACAATACAATCACCCCTTTAACATGTACACTTCAGTGGTTTTTGTCTGTTCACAGAATTGTGCAACCATCGCCACAGTCAATCCTAGAGCACTTCATCACCCCTGCAGAACCTCTGCACCCACCCGCAGAACCTCTGCACCCACCCGCAAGCACTCCCCCTTCCCCTCCGCCCCTGGAAGCCACAGATCTTTCTGTCCGTAGAGACGTGCTAATCCTGGACGTTTCACGTAAGTGGAAGGCATTCCATTTCTGCCACAGCTCTGTGGCAGAGGCAGATTCAGAGATTCGCAGGGGAGGCCCCACAAGCAGCACCCACAGCCTCCAATATCAGGGATGTTTTTCTGACGAGGGCTTGATGATAGAAGGAATGGCCTTTCTCTGCGGTCCCCGAAGATGTACTTGGAATACAAAGTATTAGAGGCTATTGCTGCTGTTTGGATTATGTTTCAGAGCATTTGACAGAAAGATCCTCTTAATGGCCTCACTCTTGAACGTTGTTGCAAAATTCAAATGCTCTTAAAACTTCTGTCCACTTTTTGTTCATTTTCCAGGTAGCAGAAGGTCAGGAAATTTGTGTGATTGAAGCCATGAAGATGCAGAACAGTATGACAGCTGGGAAAACTGGCAAGGTATGTCCCCAAGGTCCCACCAGCCCAGGCCGCTGTGACAGGAAGCAGAACCTCCACCTTGGAATCTTGGACGGTTGGGGCCTGAGGGGGACGGCGGACGGGGTCTCTCTCAGCCTCTCCCTCTTGCGGACGAGGGCGCTGCAATCGGGGCTCCCTGTGTTCTGCATCCACGTGACCTGCAGGCCTTCCAGGAGAGTCTGTGTGACATCCAGGGAGTCAAAGAACAACTGTTCTTCACCTTAATGTCTTTCGAATTAAGGGGTCTTTAATTTTTAATGTTTACATCTGTCTTAGAGGCAGTTAGTTATCTGAGACTTAGGTGACACAGCAGGAAATGGTTTTAGAGATTGCAAAAATTAATGCAACTCGGGGCTTCCCTGGTGGCGCAGTGGTTGAGAGGTCGCCTGCCGATGCAGGGGACACGGGTTCATGCCCCGGTCCGGGAAGATCCCACATGCCGCGGAGCGGCTGGGCCTGTGAGCCATGGCCGCTGAGCCTGCGCGTCCGGAGCCTGTGCTCCACAACGGGAGAGGCCACAACAGTGAGAGGCCTGTGTAACCGCAAAAAAAAAAAAAAAAAAATTCAACTTTTCAAGATAATTTCTCCACAAAGAGAACAATTCACTTTTAGATCAAGATGAACTGAAAGGGGGACTTCCCTTGTGGTCCAGTGGGTAAGACTCTGTGTTCCCAGTGCAGGAGGCCCGGGTTCGATCCCCGGTTGGGGAACTAGATCCTGCTTGCATGCCGCAACTAAGAGTCCGCATGCTGCAACTAAAGATCCCGCATACCACAACGAAGAACCGGCGCAGCCAAAAATAAGTAAATAGGTAATAAATTAAAAAAAAAAAAAAAAAGGGAGCTGAAACACCCACATCCACGCGTGGGACCTAACGATTTAGGGAGGAAAAAAAGATGTATTAGTACTGAAATCTGTTAAGAGTAAAACTTCTTAAATGAATTTTCTCATTGAAGAAAATAGAAAAGTCTTTTTAAGCAATAACTTCATTATTCTTCCTGCGACTAGAAAGGCACCACTTGTAGCAGAACGATCCTTTTCTGAAGGATGGTTTGGTTTGAAAGTACCACACAGTGGAGCGAGGAGAGGCGGGGCAGGTCGGGTGGGGTGGGGACAGCAGTGTAGGTTGGCTGTGTCCTGCACTGTGGCCATGCCTGGAAGGCGCGATTGAGCCTTGGGGACAGTGGGTGTCCTGGCAGAAGGTACTGTCAGCTGCCAGTGAAGTCTGCATCAGAGACACAGCCTCCAGTTGCCTGCCCCAAAGGAAATGAAACCGATGTTCAGAGAACAGGCCTAGGGGGACGCCCCAGTCCAGCCCCAGCCAGGAGGGCAGAGGCCCAGCGTGTGACCAGGCTGGAGGGGCATCAGACGGCTGCACCCAGTCTCCTCGGGGTTTGGGAGAGGAGACTGGCATGCTCTGCAGCTTCGGGGGAATCCTGCTTTTCACACCTGATGACCCTTTAGGAAATGAACGAAGTGTTGGTTTCTGCTCTTGTAAAAATTGTTCTGTTTGTCCCTTGGGGTTAGTCAGCATTTACGCTGCATTACTGTCATGAGCTTTCCCCTCTGTGACGAGCACTTGGCCTTGTTTGGGGGCCCAGAATATACATCAGATGCACCAGCGGCCCGTGTGCTGGACTGAGGCACTGACACCAAAGTGAACATGGCCTTAGCTCCCTCCCCGTCTGCGTGGTCTGTGTCCTCGGGGCCTGGGTCTCCTGGGGAGGCCCTGGTGCTGTCAGGGTGGTGATGGGCTCTGGGTGAACTTGCACATTGGCCCTGCCCCACAGGGCGGGGAGGACCGGGCCCCTGAGCCTGGGGCTGGCAGTTTTTGCTTTGAGAGGCCAGTTTTCCTCCCGGGGGCCCGTTCACAGTGGAAGCAGGTCCTCCATTCTGGAGTCGCAGCATCATGACAGATACATCCTGTAAAAACACCGGCGGCTTCAGATCATAAAAAGCGGCCACTTCAGTGCAAATAGCTCCTGTGGAACGAGGCCTTTCAAGTGTCACTGCACAGCTTCTCTTGGTCCCGAGAGACCCCGGGTTGGAACTCTAGGGGAGAAGGCCCTTCTCGCTGCTGCTGGCTCATGGCAGAGACGCGGGGACACAGGCCAGGGCACCCAACCCCAGGTCTCTCCACTTTTCCTGTTTGCCACTTGCCCAGACGGTCAGTTAACTTCCAACCCATCATCATTCATCTTCATGCCCCAGCAAGAACTTCCAAGTCAAATGACTGTCTCTAGTTTTAAAAGTGAACACAAATTTGGGAAAGCAAAAGTTGACTAAAATGGGGAGAAATCAGTGGAGTGAAAGGGCACGGAGGCAGCGTCACGGGAGCCCAGTGCCTGCCCCGCGTCGCGCCGCCAAGAGCAGCGCTCGTTCTCTGAGGAATTTCATTTCCCTTCAGAAGGAGGCTTCTGGTCAGGCTAGGGAATTTCTCCTGTTAATTAGTACCTGTTTTGACTCTTGTGTAATTGTGAGTGGGTTTGTCTGTTTAACACTAAGTACACCATTAACTCTCCCGGGTGTGGAGACTCATCCAGCATAATCACTGCCAGCTGAGACCCCCGAGGGCACCCTGTGCAAAGGACAGCACAGATGCCCTGCGACCAGCAGCTTTTAGGACCGACAAAGATAAGGAGGGGAACGTGGCGACTCACAGCTCACGGCGGCAGCGAGGACATCTCTGTGCTCGAGGTCCCCTATGATGGACACCCTACCTCCAAATGTTCTGTCTGTGCTCCAAAGCCCGCCAGGCTCTCCCTTCATTTCCAGAAATGGATGACGAGATTGCTTCCTCCTGGTCTAGTTAATAATTCTTACTCTCCCCCCCCCCGCTTTTTTTTTTTATTCAAGGTGAAATCGGTGCATTGTAAAGCTGGAGACACAGTTGGAGAAGGAGATCTGCTAGTGGAACTGGAATGAAGTATTTATAGCCTTTCAGTCATCACCCGATTTAATTAGCCATTCGTATTATTGTCCTTTCACACTCAATTTATTCAAGCGTTTTGCAGGAACACCCCTGTGTAGCAGATTTTACATGGTCATATTTATTCCACATATAGTCAAGACCAACATTCTGCCAAAAAATCACCAATGGAAATTTTTATTGATATAAATACTTGTACATAAGATTTGTACTTCTGGGCTTCCCAGGTGGCGCAGTGGCTGAGAGTCCACCTGCCGATGCAGGGGACGCGGGTTCATGCCCCGGTCTGGGAAGATCCCACATGCCGCGGAGCGGCTGGGCCCGTGAGCCGTGGCCACTGAGCCTGCGTGTCCGGAGCCTGTGCTCCGCAGGGGGAGGGGCCAAAAAAGTGAGAGCCCCGCGAACTAAAAAAAAAAAAAAAAAAAAGATGTGTACTTCTGCTGTGAGATTTCCTAGTGTCATAATTAAATCAATAAAATTGAACATTTGTCTAAATATTAGTTTGCCCTTTTTTTTGAATGAAGACAATGTACATAAGAGGCTATGGGCTGTGCCAGTAGACTTTAAATACTAGTGTTTCATCAGGATCCTAAATCCCAGTTCTTGGCCCTCAGTTTTGTTGTTAGCATTTGCCACTTTGTAACCTGATGACCTGCTTCATCCTGTTTGAGGACCTAACTCCTGCTTCTGGTCGTTCATAACCTCCCGAAGCCCAGACAGCACAGATGATGGTCCTGGAAATCCCTCCTGTGTGGCTCTAACGGTGAGTGTGGACCCCGAGTCCCCAGGGGCGACCCCCTTCCCCGTCCCAGGGCACCGGCGTGGGTACCACTCGGGGCTCCCCTGGCCCAGTGGTGGTGGGCGGGGCTGCCACAGCTCATCAGCTGACACCCATACTCGCCTTTCTGTGTTTTTGTGAAGCAAGTTTCCAATTAAGAAAAAAGGGCTAAAAATCACGGTCATGCTTTTGTGCCAGATGCAGTTACAGATCACAGTCTACCGTTAAGTTGAAGAGTGAGTGAGCTCTCCCAGTGGAGAACGAGGTTAACTCAGGACCAGCCGCTGCGTTTTCACCTGGCTCTGAAATTCGCAGAATACATTTCGTACTTTGCCGGTAAGGAAGCAGAGGCAGAGTCCTACGCTGATTTGACTCTAACCCTGACAGATTATCGGATGGAGGTGGGTAGTAATTGGTACTTCGTGCCTTGCTAAAATTATTTTAGGTGCTGTTTGTATTTGGAAGCGAAGCTTTCTGTCAGGCCTGAAAAACAGATTACTAATGTGTTGGTTCTTCTCCAAAAGGCCCGCCCCCAAACGCTGCTCACTTGTGGGGGCAGGGACCGCGCCTTGCCCTGCGCTCCCGTGAGCTTCCGTCTGAAACTGGGGTGTTCAGCTGCTCTGCCAGCAAGTGGGCACTTGCTATTTTGCCAGATGAGAATGAAAAGAACCTTCTACCAAATAAGGAGACTTAAAAAGAGGGCCAACAATAGCACCGATACTTTTATATTTGATTTCCCAAAACATCTCGTTTAACCTTAAATGATCTTTAATAATCTCTGTAATAAGCCTGATCTGAAAATTATGAAGAATGATGTTACATATATTCAGAAGTACTCTAAAATACAGCGTGTTTTTCTTGAGGTTCTTTTATTACACTGAGACGTCTAAAATCAACTTTAAAAAAATTTCTCAGTGCTACAGGTCAGACAGAACTGATAGAGCAGGGCTGTTAAAATCTAGCTGCCACACAAAGTCTTTATATTCATTTTAAATGTTATCTTCAAACTAAAGCAAAGCAAAGGAAAAAACAAAAACAAAAACCAACATAATAAGAAAAGCATAACATGAGTTTTCAAAATGTCATTTAGGGGAATTAAAATCCTGAGTTTTTCTCATCCAGTACGTTCAAGCCCATGATGCTCTTTAAGCAGCAAGCAATAAAGCAGCATCAGCAAGACAGATTTCAGGAAACAGTCTTGTTATTTAGCCATGTCAAAATTATTTGGGAAATCGGCTGCCCCCCCCCACCCCCCATAGAGATTTATAAATGTTTGTTTCAAAGGGTGTTCTCGGGCTTTTGCATTCAGTGAGTGCGGACCAGTGAGGCCATCTTCCAACCACCAGGCTCTCGGTCCTCGGGCGGCCGCTCCCCTCGCACTTCTCATCTGCTTTCCCGTGGACTGTAGCGAAGCCCGTGCTCCCCCTGTGAGTCGTAATCGTCGTGGTACGGGAGGTGGACCCACTCGGGCGGGTAGGTGGCCGTGCTGTACACGAAGCACTGTAGGGTCCCGCCCGCCCCCTCAACAGCGACTGTCACCCGGGTGCGCTGGTACATGTCCGGGCAGCCTTCGAACTCGTCCAGAAAGCGCAGCATCTGCTCGTCCACGGCGTAGACCTCCCCAGCCACTCGGCGCCCCTGGCCCGGCAGGTTCAGCAGCCGTGGGATGTTGCGCTGCCCCGCGATCACCAGCGGGTACGGTTCGACCGTGCGACCCCAGCCCCGGAAGGCCGCGCGACCGTGGGCGCTCTCCAGCAGGACCCGGTGGTTGGGCTGGCCCGTCTTCAGGGTCCCGTACACGAACACGTGGGCCATGCAGCCGGGAGCTGCGAGCGAGCGAGCGAGGACGGACGCACAGGTCCCGCGCGGCGGGGAAACGGGTGGCCTCGCCCCGGGCCTCCACTCCCGACCAGACACCCTTCCCAGGCAGGGTTCCAGGACCTTCCCAGACAGGGTTCCAGGAAGAGCGACTCGTGTCAGATGATGCAGCCTGTCGTGGCGGCAAGCCCTGTAGAAGTGCGGTTTTGTAGAGCAGTTAGTTTTCAATCTCTTTAAGAGGACTTTAAACAGTAAATATTACAGAAAAGTAAAAATAACGATAAGCAAATAGAAACACACACACACACACATATATATATATGTGTATATATATATATATATACACACACGTGTATATTTATATACATGAATAATCACCTGTCATTGGCTACCAAAGAGAATTCCGGTTTCAGCACTAAATTTACATTCTGGCCCTGGCAAGACGCAGCAAAACGTTAGCTGCACCTTTCTGTGTTCCTTCCTTCTTCAAGGTCCTAGAGGGTGACACTGCCTCCCTGTGACTCAGCCCAGCGACCGACCATGGCTCCAGTGAGAGAGAAGGTAAATATTTACCCCCCTTCATGGGTCTGGGCCACAGATTATTACATAACCGACCAAAGTGATTTGTGTAAGAGTGACTCAAACAAAAATGGAAACGAAAAGTTATGTATGGGCCCCTCTTCCAAGCCTGGCATCTAGCTGCCCCCCTTGCCCCCAGCCCTTCAGACACCGAGGGACATGGCCCCGGTGTGCCAAGCGGGCTCTGCCGCCAGTTACATGGCCAAGTGGCCCTTGGAGAAGTCACACTTAACTCACAGGACTCGACTTTCTTCCCAGCAAACAGGCTGGTCTGGGGGTCTGGGCCTCGCCCCACCTCCTCAGGGCGTCCAGGGAGGATGGGTGGTGTCCAGAGGCCATCACAGCTGCCCTCTCGGGCCGACCCTTCCTCTCTGCCACCTTGGTCTCAGCCGCCAGCCTTCAGCAGGACAGAGACGGGATGGGAGCTCTCGTTGTAGTGACTGACCGCAGAGGAAGGGCAGACCGGAGTGGTGGGCCTTAAGCGGCGGCTGCCCAGGTATGCAAGTCAAGCTGTGAATGAGGAGAGCCTGGACTCGGAGGTGCAGGGGCCGAGGAGGCGGCAGGCCCACTGCTGCTGCGGGAGGGCGTGCCTGGGAGGATGGAGAGACGGAGCGGGGGCCTAGGGCGGGCGGGAGCCCAGCCAGCCCCGCCTTCCCTGTCCCACACTTGCATCCGCCTTCCAGCATGTTCTGGCAATAACAACTCCAGGTCAAAGTGGGATGCACGGCTCCCACCCTTGCCGGGACCGTCCCCTAGAACCCTGGTGGGCCCGCTGCCTGGTCCCTCCGGCCTGTCCCCGTGCAGCCCCCAGGGGCCTGGCCGCACACTCTCCAGGGCTAAGCCTGTGGCTGTGAGCCCTTGCCTCCCTTCCCAGGTGACACCCTCCCTGAGCGGCACCCACCACAGCCCTCTGTCACCCTGTTTGGCTCTCTTCGTGGCGCATGTTCTCTAAACCACTCCTTGCCTTGTTCGCTACCAGAACGTGAAGAGTTGAGAGCGCAGCGAAACCGCCCAGTCCCTCAAGGCCGAGTCTCGGGTCGGTGAGGACTGAGGCCGCACAGCTGGGCCGGGGCCAGACCAGTTGACACTGGAGGTATCGCATTGCTCGTCACTCCTGATCGCTGGTGCTCTCACGTCCCCGCCCTTTGATTAGATTTTAAAGCAACACGTGTCCGTAAGATAAAGTCAAGTAACTTTACAAGGAAAATAAAATCCCTACCCATTCCCACTCCCTTGAAGAGACCTGTTTAAGGCCCTGAACTGTTGTTGCATTTGGTATTTGTCTCCACGTTGTTGGTTATACCACTGCTTCCCGATGTTTTAAATTGTCTGCCTTCCTACCCAAAGCAGGTGAGCACAGCGGTTTAAAGCACAGACTTTAGAACCAACTTCCCTGGGTTGAAATCCTGGCTCTGCCACTTATTAGCTGTGTGACTTTAGGCAAACAACTTAACCTCTCTGTGCCCCGGGTTCCTGGACTGTCAGAGGAGGCAGACAGCCACCTGCCTGGAGGACTGCTGTGGTGGTGCAGGAGTTGACACCCGGGCCGGTCCCGCCCACTCGGTAAGGCTGCGTCAGACGTTCCTGCTGTAGAGCCTGGCGCCTGCCTCTCGCCCCACATTCCTCCAATAGGCTCACATCACAATTTGTGGTCAAATCCATATTCAGTTCAGCATTGAGACTATGTAGACACTGCTCTCAGATAAGGCACATAGTGTACTATGACTAATTTCCTTTCTTGGACAACTTCTTGTTTTTTTTGGAATTGAAAATTGCTTCGGCCTTTTTTCCTTTTTTGAGCTTTGCTCCAGTTCCTCTGACAGCCCTCCGGCCTCATGTTTTCTGAAGGCGCCTGAGGAACCCTTTTGTCCCTGACCCCCCGCGGCTTCCCTTCCTCCCGGGAGCTGTGGCTCCCGGCGGCCCTCCTGCTCCAGCCTGGTCTGCGGTGCATCCCACGCTTCTCCCAGAGCCCTGTCCCTGCGTCCCACGGCCCCTTCTTGGTTGACTCCCTCATTTTACTGAAGCTCGTTCTTTCCCAACCTCAATTAACAGTGTAACTAGGTAAGATTTCTCACTGCTTTCTTCCAGAATTTTGAAGTCGTTTCTTCCTTGTCTTCTGATGCTCCCGTTCATGCTGAGACGTCCAGGGCCATTGGGACCCACAACCATTTGTACGGGACTCAGGTTCTTCTCTGGAGGCTCCTAGGGGCTTCTTTTCGCCCTTGGATTGTGAGGTTCTATAATAAGGAGTCTCCATGTGGGATTTTTTCATTCATTGTGCCAGAAACTTCCATCTGAAGACTCATTATCTTGGGTCTTAGGAATTTTCTTCCCTCTCCTTCCTTTCTCTTTCTGGGTCTCCAGAACTCAGATGTTGCATATCCTGGATTAATCTCCCAATTTTCTTTTTGTAGTCTATTATCTTCCAGCACTTCTATTATTTTGAAAAATATTTTTGCCACCATATTTATTTCCAAGATCTTTTTCCTGTTCCCTCATTTCGTTAGCATCCAGTTCTTTCTCAGCATAATCCCATCTCTCCTCATCATGAATTTGGAGGGGTTTTAAGTTTTTATCTTTCCTGGTATTGCCTCTACTTCTCCTAAATTCCTCTCTTCTCCTTGTTTTATGTTTCTTTAAGAGGTTTTCTTCAAGCATCTCAGTATCCTTGGCTGGCCTTTCATGTGGAAAGTGGGACACCATGCAGGAAGCTGTGTGTGAGGGGGAGCCTGTCGACTGGCCGGCCTGGCGTGAGGGCTGGATAATGGAATCCACAGGAATGTGGACTCCTCTCCCTCCCCATCTTTCTTTAGGGTGCCTCTCGCCTGCACCCTCGGCTGGGCCTGGTCCTCCCGACACCAGACTTCCCGCTAAGCCTCTCCCGACAGTAACCCACCCTTGCCCTGCTGGGCAGAGGGACGGTCGGGGTCTCTGCTTCCTGCTCAGACGGCCCCCTCCTCCTTTTCCACCCCTCACCCCGCCCTCACACGACTACAGGGCGGCAGTGGGAGCTTCCCTGGCATCCAGGGTGCTGCTGGCGGGCTCCCCAGCAGGGATTTAGGTTTCCGGTGTCTCGAGGCTGCTGAGTCAGCCAGCGCTCATCTATCTATCTTCCAGAATCTCATTGCCCTCTCCCATCTGTTGTCTTCATGGGTCACGGGGAGTGGCCTTTAGGGACAGAGCGGGGATAAAGGAGCCTGTTCCTCGCACCACTGCACCACTGGGCCTTCCCTCACGGGGCCCCCGGCTCGGCCACTGTGTCCTTCTGGAGGCTCGACGTGGGACAGGAAGCAGCAGTGCCTCAGGAGCTGCTTGCTTAGACGGGTGGTGAGAAGAGTTCACTAGGGTACCGGTGACGGGAGTGTGTCGCCAAGAGAAAGCCAGTAATGTAGCAACTCTGGGGACCAGAGAGGCTGGTGACGGCCAGTTTACACTCCCACCTACAGTGCACAAGGGTTCCAATTTCTCCACATCCCCACTGGTACTTATTTCCTCCCTTCCTCCCTTCTCTCTCTCTCTTTTTTTATGGTGGCCATCCTAAAGGGTGTGGGGTGGTATTTCACTGTGGGTTTTTTTAAATTTTTTTATTGGAGTATAGTTGATTAACAGTGTTGTTAGTTTCAGGTGTATAGCAAAGTGATTCAGTTATACATATTCATATATTCATTCTTTTTCAGATTCTTTACCCATATTGGTTATTACAGAATATTGAGGACAGTTCCCTGTGCTATACAGTAGGTCCTTGTTGGTTATCTATTTTATATATAGTAGTGTATGTTAATCCCGAACTCCTAATTTACCCCCCCCCCATGTTTCCCCTTGGTAACCATAATGTTTTTGAAATCTGTGAGTCTTTTTCTGTTTTGTAAATAAGTTCATTTGTATCATTTTTTTAAATGAGAGTCCACATGAGTGATATTATATATGTCTTTCTCTTTCTGATTTACTTCACTGAGTATGATCATCTCTTGGTCCATCCATGTTGCTGCAAATGGCATTATTTCGTTCTTTTTTATGGCTGAGTAATATTCCATTGTATATGTGTGCCACATCTTTTTATCCATTCATCTGTCGATGGGCATTCAGGTTGCTTCCATGTCCTGCCTATTGTAAATAGTGCTGCAGTGAACACTGGGGTGCATGGATCTTTTCGAATTATGGTTTTCTTTGGATATATGCCCAGGAGTGGGATTGCTGGATCATATGGTAACTCTATTTTTAGCTTTTAAGGAACCTCCATACTGTTCTCCATAGTGGTTCTACCAATTTACATTCCTGCCAACAGTGTAAGGGGGGTTCCCTTTTCTCTACACCCTCTCCAGCATTTATTTGTAGACTTTTTGATGATGGACATTCTGACCTGTGTGAGGTGGTACCCCATAATAGTTTTGATTTGCATTTCTGTGATTACCGACGTTGAGCATCATTTCATGTGCTTTTTGGCCACGTGTATGTCTCCTTTTGAGTGTCTATTTAGGTCTTCTGCCCATTTTTTGATTGGGTGGTTTGTTTTTTTGATATTGAGCTGCATGAGCTGTTGTATTTTTTGTTGTTGTTGTTGTTTTGTGGTACACGGGCCTTTCACTGCTGTGGCCTCTCCCACTGCGGAGCAACAGGCTCCAGACGCGCAGGCCCAGCGGCCATGGCCCACGGGCACAGCTGCTCCACGGCATGTGGGATCCTCCTGGACCGGGGCACGAACCCATGTCCCCTGCATCGGCAGGCGGACCCTCAACCACTGCGCCACCAGGGAAGCCCAAGCTGTTGTATATTTTGGAGATTAATTCCCTTGTTGGTCACTTCGTTTGCAAATATTTTCTCCCATGCTGTGGGCTGTCTTTTCATTTTGTTTCATTGTGAGTCTTAATTTGCATTTCTGTAATGATCAGTGATGTTGAACATCTTTTCATGTTGGCCATTGCATATCTTCTTTGGAGAAATGTCTCTTCAAGTCCTTTGCCTGTTTTTCCTTTTGTTGTTGTTTTATTTATTTTGGTTGTGCTGGGTCTTAGTTGCAGCAGGCAGGGCTCCTTAGTTGCGGTTCGCCGGCTCCTTCAGTTGCGGCTCACTGGCTCCTTAGCTGTGGCATGCAAACTCTTAGTTGTGGCATGCATGTGGGATCTAGTTCCCTGACCGGGGCTAGAACTCATGTCCCCTGCATTGGGAGGAGGATTCTTAACCACTGCACCACCAGGGAAGCCCTGGTGCCTGTTTTTTAATCAGACTTTTTTTCTTTGTTGAGTTACTGGAGTTCTCTGTATCTTTTGGATATTAACCTCTTATTAGATATATGATTTGCAAATATTTTCTCCCATTTCATAGGCTGAGGTCACCTTTTTACTCTGTTGTGTTTTTTGCTGCACAGAAGTTTTAAATTTTGACGTCACCCAATTCTTGCTTTTATTGCCTGTCATTCTGGTGTCATATCCAAGAAACCCTTGCCAAGCCCAGTGTCATGAAGCTTTTGCCCTGTGTCTTCTCCTAAGAATTTTATAGTTTTAGCTCTTATGTTGAGCACTTTTATCCATGTTGAGTTAATCTTTGTATACAGTGTAAAGTAAGGGCCCAACTTCATTCTTTTGCATATAAATATCTAGTGTTCCAGTTATTGAAAAGACCATCTGTTCCCTGTTGGTCTTTCCACCTTTGTCAAAAATCATTTGACCATATATCTAAGGATTTATTTCTGGGTTATTTCTGCATTCTCTATTGTGTTCAATTGATCTACATATCTGTCTTAATGTCAATATCATGCTGTTTTGATTGCTGTAGCTTTGCAGTATGTTTTAAAATCAGGACATATGAGACCTCCAACTTTATTGTTTTTTATTTTTTCCTCAAGATTGCTCTGCTCACTTGGGGTCCCTTGAAATTCCGTATGAATTTCAGGATGGGTTTTGTTTTTTTTTTCCTGAAAGAAAAACACTATTGGGAATTTTGACAAGAATAGCATTAAATCTGTTTAGGTGGTACTGACATCCTAACAATATTAAGTCTTCCAATCCATGAAGAGGTCTTTCTATTTAATTTCAACAATGTTTTGTAGTTTTCAGTGTACAAGTCTTTCATCTCCTTGGTTAAGTTTCCTAAGTATTTTATTCTTTTTGATGTTATTGTAAGTGGAATTGTTTAAAAAACTTTTTTTGGATTGTTCATCATTAATGTATTGAAATGCAACTGATTTTTGTACACTGATTTTGTACCCTGCAACTTTGCTGAATTCATTTACTAGTTTTAATAGTTTTCTTGTAGAAATGTTAGGATTTTTTACATAAGATCATGTGAACAGACAGAATCCTACTTCTTCCTTTCCAACTTGGATGTCTTTTATTACTTTTTCTTGCCTGATTGTCCATGTATAACTTTTATCACTATAATAATTTTTATCACTATATTGAATAAAAGTGGTAGCAAACACCCCTATCTATAAAGCTTTTTCACCATTAAGTGTGATGTTAGCTATGGGCTTGTCATATACAGCCTTTATTAGGCTGAGGTAATTTCCTTCTATTCCTAGTTTAAGTGTTTTACCATGAAGTGGTGTTGAATCTTGTCAAATGATTTTCTGTATCAATTGAGATGATAGTTTTTTTTTTTTCCTTCATTCTGTTAAAGTAGTGTACTATAGGGCTTCCCTGGGGGCGCAGTGGTTGAGAGTCTGCCTGCTGATGCAGGGGACACAGGTTCATGCCCCGGTCTGGGAGGATCCCACATGCTGTGGAGTGGCTGGGCCCGTGAGCCATGGCTGCTGGGCCTACACGTCCGGAGCCTGTGCTCCACAGCAGGAGAGGCCACAGCAGTGAGAGGCCCGTGTACTGCAAAAAAAAAAAAAAAGCAGTAGTGTACTATATTGACTGATTTTCATATGTTGAACCATCCTTGCATTCCAAGAATAAATCCCCCTTGGTCATGGTATATAATCCTTTTAATGTATTATTGAATTCTCTTTGCTAGTATTTTGTTTAGAATTTTTGCATCAATCTTTGTCAGAGATATTAGTCTGTACTTTTCTTATAGTGTCGTCTTCTGGCTTCAGTTATCAGAGTTGTGCTGGCCTCACTGAATGAGTTTGGAAGTGTTTCCCTCCTTTTAAATTTTTGGGAAGAGTTTGAGGAGAACTCATGCTGATTCTCTTTACATGTTTGGTAGACTTCACCAGTGAAGCCATCTGGTTCTGGAATTTTCATTGTGGAGAGACTTTTGATTACTGAGTCAATCTTCTTACTAGTTATAGGTCTGTTCAGATTTTCGATTTCATCATGATTCAGTCTTAGTATGTGTTTCTAGGAATTTATCCATTTCATTTAGGTTACCAATTTGTTGCCATACAATTGTTCACAGTATTCTCTTACAATCCTTTATATTTTTGTAAAATGGGTTTTAATGTTCTTGCTTTCATTTTTGATTTTAGTTATTTGCATCTTCTCTTTTTTCTTAGTTAATCTAGTTAAAAAGTTTGTTGCTCTTTTAAGAAAATCAACTCCTCGTTTCATTGATTCATCTGTATTATTTCCTTCCTCTGCTAGCTTTGGGTTTAGTTTTTCTTTTTCACGTTCCTTATCGCCCTATACTCCTGTTCCTTGTACGTCGTGTTCAGCTGATTTCCAAGGGCTGCTGTGAAGGTCACAGCCATCAGAATATGTGAAAAGACTATTGCATTGGCCAGATCCGCTCAGACCACAGCCAGGGCTAACTCAAAATACGCCTGTGATTCACTCAGGCCAGAAACAAACACACTGGGCCCCTCCTGACACACACCTCTGGGCCAGGCTACGAGAGGGCAGCACTGCCGCTGCAGAAGAGAATGCTACCTTCTGAGGCTCATACATTACAGTCTGTCTTCCACCCCATTCTCCTCCTGCCATGTAGTAGTTCCTTCCACGGCAGTGGGTTATGGTTGGAGTCTTGAATAAAATGCAAGTACTTGATTCAATAAATAAAGGATAGAAACAGCTGTAGGTGAGCCATTTGGGCTTTTCCAGAGCAACCTGAAGAGTGCCCATCAGGAGCACTTGCATCTCTGCTTTAATGTGAAGTAGATGCTCCCAGGTAGGCCTGTTCTAGGACACTGATGGTCAGGTCAGGCCAGCCCCTGCAGGGAACATCATTGGGCTGGATGGCCATTAAAGGGCACAGTGCACACATGGTAAGTGTAAAGAAGAAGGACACTGTGGTACAATGACAGGCCTGAATCAAATTCCCACCTCCACCACCTAACAAACAACTGTGGGTCTCTAGGAACGTTATTTAAACTCTCTGAACTTCTATGCCTGTTCTTTAAAACTGCATTCATCCTGCCTCCCTAAGAGCTAATCACTACTGACTGCCAACTGTGGGCCAGGCCTCAGGACCCGATGAAGGTTAATTAATTCCCTTTTCCCCTTGACCCTGTTCCCGCCTAAGTTCTCCACCCCAACTCCTTCCTTTATAAAGATCTTATATATATCTACTAGCTTATATTCTTCTCAAGGAATCCCCTTATAAATAAAACAGAAAAGAACATTCTACATAATAAATGGGAGAGGGAATCAAGCCGTATCAAGCATTAGTTGTGGCCTTCATTTTTCAGAGCCAAAGCAAATACCTGGGCAGGTGATTGATATTACATAGAAATGATCACGGTTAAGCCACAGGGTGTTGATTCCAACTCTGTAGAAAATCAGTTCAGTAACTTTCTTCCAAAGATAGCTTATTTCCATTAAAAAAAACCCAAAAACCTGGCAATAAAAATTTAAACTTTTCTAGGAAATAATGTAGCCTCATAGAATGATCAAATTATAGTTTTCTACATTTTATCTACTGAATTTTATCCTTTATAATATTAGTTTGAGAATACTACTTATGTAATAGAAAACTAATATTCTGCATTTCTGGCTCCTTTCACAAGAAAAACATCATTACCTTTCTGATTGTGTTTTGAACAAACACAGATCCTTCAGGAAGAGCCTCATCCCTGTGGGGACTGAGAAAGGATCAGAGTTAAGCACTGAAACAAGCAATTAATTCCCATTAGAGGATTAAGGCACTCATGTTCACTTTGAGTCAGAAAAATGAATTGTGAATAAAATCATGTACAACCAAGAGGTTACTTGTCAAAGTTAATAAATTAGATAACTGGAGCGCAAAGTGGAAAGCACAGAAGTTGAGTGGCCATATGAGCACCGGCGAGGAAACTGGTTTTTGTATTCAAAACTGGGTTTTGAATTCACTGGACAAGATCCACCATCTCAAGATGCTGTAGCAACGTGGGATGGGGGGGGGTACAGTTTCTGCCACATGGTGCTGTCTTTAATAGGTGCATTCCATGAAGAGAAAGCCTAAAGGCGTTTCCACCCTATTATGTCACCACCCCCCATGCACAGATTTCCCTATAATATCATTAATAAAAGACTCTATGGAAGAGACATACAAGATATATTAACATTCAACTTGATGCATTTTACTTTTGGGTTTTAGAACTGATTCTAAATGAACTCAAGCAATGCCTTTGCAAGCAACTTTCCTGATTGGGAGGCCCTGCTGTGATCAGGACTTAGTCACCCTCCCCTTGGGAGTCACCCTCCCCTTGGGAGTCTTAAAGCCCAAAAGCTGAACCCTTGTCTCAAACCCAACTAGTTAGGAATAATGTGGACATCCAGGGGTCAGCCCAGAGGTGGAAGAGGCTCAGAGAGAGTCTCAAGAAGTTTTATTTCAGCAAAATTTGGTTAGTTTAACATTGTCAATATTTAAGAAAACAAAAACACTCATGGAAATGTCCATCTGGCCTGGCACTGCTTGAAATGCCTCTGTCACTTATTCAGCAGTTTTCTTACTGAAACACAGTCCATCTAGAGTTTCATATTTCATCGCTGAAGCAGAAATTGAAAGTCATTATGAGTCCTTCGCATAATTATTGGGGTTTTCCTGCTTAATATTTTTTCTTAGCCACCTGGTGGCAAGAGTGTAAAAGGCAGGACTTAATTTTAGAGTTTAATCTGCTAGTTTACAAATTAACTATTGCACACACTGGGACCATATTTAGAAACACACACACATACCAGCTGCCAAAGGATTTAAATGGACACCAGCTTCTATCGTGAAAACAACCTTTAAAAATGAAAAAAGGTGTCTCCACAAAAATATTCATCCTGTATTAACATTTAATGACAGGAGGAAATGCTAGACAGCTGGAAATGATGACACAGATTTTACTGTTTTCTCTAAGTGATAAATCCTTAAGCCGTGAACACTGCCTGCCCGCTGTAGAGGTCAGACTGTGCTAGAAAAGACAGGTGAAACGACCGGCTTCGGTCGCACCAAGTTACAGCTCTGCCACTCGCCCCTGTCTGGAGGCCCAGCAGCCCCACATCTCTGCCTCCCCGCCTGCCTGCTGTATAAGTAGCTTTACTCGTTCAACATTGTGTGTCAAAGTTGACTCCCACCGAACCTGTGATGGCCCTTGTCACAGCGAGGACCAGCTTCAGCGAAGCCACGTGCTGCCCCGGGCCTCGTGTGGCCACAGCCCCGGGCATGGCCTCAGCCGACGTTACTCAGGGCTGCCGAACGTCGGTAAAAGGCACGTGTGATGTGTGCTCGTTTCTCCTTGTATAGGAACTGCTGCCCCTTCCTACTGTAACGTTCCTGTCCCCGGAGAGACGCCTGAGTGTCTGCTATAGTACACGGTCATTCTTCAGAGGTTTCTAGGGCTGTAGGAAACAGGTGAAAAAACAAGCCGCCTCGACCTCTGCCCTGGAGCTCGGTCAGCCTCTCCCGGGCCGGGCGTTGCCAGGGAGGCCGCGCGTCCTGCGGCCGCTTTGATGCTCCCCCCTCGCACTTCTTTGCAACAGCTGCCAGGGCTTCCTGCCCACCGCCCCGCTGGGGACCCGGGAAACGTGTATGGCAGGACACCCTTCTGACGTGAGCCCAGCAGCCCGGGCGACGCAGTGCCTCTGAAATCCAGAGGCTGGGTCCACACTCGCAGTCTCCCCAGACTCCGAGCCTTCGCGGGTCCGTGAGGACAAGCGGCGCGTCCCGGTCCTGATGCCCCACGGGGCCTCCGAGTGCTGCCTGGCAACCGTCCCGCGGGCTTTTACGCTTTGCCCACGACAGAAATTCTTAGAAGAAAAAGAAAACTTTTAATGCCACACCATTTTAAAGGCCACTGTGTTGCCATCTTTTAAACATACAGCGACCACTAGGGAGATGTGATGGTCGGCCGCCGCCAGGCGCACTCTGAGGTCCGTCAGGAGCAGCTGGACGGGCCTGGCGCCGTCGGGAAAGGGCCGCAGGGGACGGTGGGATGCGGAGCGGGCGGCTGCAGCGGAGGCGCTGCCCGCGGCGGGCTCCCAGGCACCGGGAGGCGCGGCCGGGGGAGCACCGCTCGTGTCCTGGCGAGTCGGACCCCCGGAACAGTCCTCATCACCAAGAGCCCACCTTCCCAGTGGGCGCGGCTTCAGGCTCAGAGGGGAAAATATGAATAATGCCACCCCCAGGACTGAGAGCATTTTTACCGTGTTAGATGCTAGATGCTAGATGCTTCGCTTACGCTAACACTCAAAGCGAGATCGCCTCACTCCCCACCGCTGTCCAGTTTACAGACGGGGAAACTAGGAGATGAAACGCGATGTACACAGATGGCCAGGCTGAAGACCTGCTTTCACGCCCCTCTCTGCCCTGCAGGGGCTCCGCCAGCTCCAGGAGGAGGTGTCCTCTCCTGCCTCCTGCGCAGGCGCAGAACAGGAACAGCTCCCAGCCCCCGAAGGGCCCCCGGCAGCCATGGCCCGGGAACGCCCCCCACCAGGTTCCATTTCCATCCTCGTCCCTAAGGTGCCCGCAGGTGTTCCGCAAGCGCGGAGCACACACCAGGGTAGCCTGCCCGGGGAATGTGCACCCAGAAGCGGTCCCTATCCCAGGACAGTTAGCAATCGTATCTGGACGTGTGTTGCGTAAGTGATGAGGGCTCGAGCGCCTACTAGCCAGCAGAGGAGGTCCGTGCAGCCCCAGCGGCTCACCGTGTCCCCCACGACCCAGAAGCACAGGATCCCGGCGGACCCACAACCGGTGGGATCAGCGAGACTCAGCGAGGCCGAGGCGCGAGCTACATCGACACCTGGCGCAGCCGGGAGAGGCCACCTTTCCATTCCAAGCAGAACCGGCTCTGAACGCAGGAAGGACGCAACAACGGCGTTCACAGAAACACCAGCAGGCCAGAAACTCTACCCTCTCCTTCCTTCCTTGGGTGCCTCTCCCAACAGGCCAGCCACACACACGAGACACACACGGGGGGCAAGGGCGACCCCCAGAGCCCCCGGGTTCCCGTCCGCAGTCTCTGCTCCAGCACCAGGCGCCGAAGGCGGACAGTGTTGGTAGAGTTGGCACATGTCAAGAAGGGAAATCAATACAGTTGAGACAGTTTTGAGCAGAGCTTCCAGTTCTGGTAAGAATAAAGTACATAGGCGTGCACAAGTTACAAAATACTGTCATACATATGAGTTAAGTGTTCCTATGTTTGCATTTAAACTTAAAATTGAAGTTGCGCAACATAAAGATAAATGAAAAACTCAAGGCTGAGAATGCAGTATAACAATAAATAGTAAAATAATATATAATTAAATAAGATATAAATAAATAATAAGAAGAAATAATAAAATAGCAACTGAAAAACACCGTGACAAGTCAAGAGAGACTGAAGAAAGGAAAAGGCTGCCTATTTTAGGAACTTTAACAGTACCTTCTCCTGCCTTCTGAACAAGGGACCCCGCATTTTCATTTTGCACTTTGTCTTGCCTGGAACCATTCTTTCTAAACTGTTTCTTGGAACCACAAAGCTCCTCAAGGGTGGGGGGCCTAAACTTCATTTCACATCTTCCACGTCAGCCAGCACAGTTCAGTGCATGCAGTAGCCACTTAATAAATACTTGCTGCAGTAAACCAAGGGATTTCCCTCTCAGTCCAGATTCCCAAAGAGGTCCCACAGGCCTTCAGCCTGTTTGGAATCTCTCAATTTCTCTATCACAAAAACCACAGGTTCAGATACTGCTCAGGGTGCAAAATCGATGGATGTCACATTCAGTCCTGTGGCTCCACCAGCACTTCCTTCAGATGCCCAGACACGGATGCAAGGGCTAGGGAGGGTGAAGTGCTCTGGACTCGGACTATGACTCAGGGCCAGGCATTGCCTCCCAGCCTTCCTGGGAGCAGCAGTAAACATCCATGCCCGACAAAAGCTTCATCCAGAAGCTGCAAAACCAACCTCTAGGGACAGTACTCGGACCAGCCAGTATGGGGTTGGGGGATTTCTTATCTCTATTAGGACAGTAGTTCCATGGGCGTATACATTTGTCAGAATCATCCATCTGTACTTAATGTGAGTTTTCTTTGTAAATCACACATCAAGGAAAGTTGAGCTAAAAAAAAAGATTAAATGGGATCATGGAAAGAAGGCAATCCGTGGGCTATTCACTCCGTAATTATTACCAGTTTACATTTTTATCTGAGTTCAACACACTTCACAATCCCTAATCAGCAAAAACTTAACATCTTTCATTTCGATTTCCACCATCATCTGAGTATTTCCAAAGTATTTCTAAAACAGCTTTGTAGTGGCCTCCCTTAAACTCAATTATTTTCTGGAACCCAACATACAATGAAACAAGACAGACTTCTCTGTGACTGTTACCTGGGTTCCTGGAAGGAGGGCAGTGGAAAGGTAGAGAAGTCCTAGGTGTGGCCCAGGACGCAGGGGCCTCCGAGGGGCGGGGAATGGGACTAAGATCGGGCCTCGCCAGCTGTCATTAGCCACCCAGGGCCCGTCTGCACTGGCTGCTGACCAAGCAGAGACTTCCCACAGTTGCCCCCTAGGAAATGCAGCAAATGCTTTGCCTTTTAGAATGTTTTTTGCAGGCCTGCTAGAGGAGCAGCTTTTAACTTGCTTGCTGGCAGTTGCTCAAAGCATGTTTACTCTGCCTGGAGCAAGTCAACGGGGGAGAGCCAGGAATCTAGGTCTGCCCCCAGCCCCACCCCCTCTGCAGGGCACCGGAAGGGCCAGCAGGTCTGGGTGAAGGCAGGTGACTCCCACCCTACGTTGTATGCCCCCCAAAGATCTTTTTTTTCCTCTTGAAGACAACTCAGGCAGAAAGCAGTGGAGGGAACGGGAATGACAACCCATTGGTGGACAATTTAAAAGGTTTCGTCTTTCAGAAACATTTTAAGGCTGAAATGTGAACTTAAAATGATTTTTGACTCTTTTGCTTTCCTAGGTGAGAAATGGGAGTTTGGGAACGCAACTTTAAGTTAGAAGCAACACAGAAGAACAATTAGAAAATATCACACAAAGCCATTCCCTCCTAGGTCGTTGGCTAACAAAATGTCCTAAAAAGAAGAGAAATACACCCATTTCAACAACTCCTAGATAACCATTTTAGAAGTCAGGCCTACCCGAAAGTGAATAAAATAGTTACAAGTGCAGGTAAGGCCCTGGCTAGGCTAGGCCCCCTGTATTTAATGTAATATTTCATAGCTTTGGAGGAACAAGAGGGATCAAAGGTCAAAGCCAGGCACTGCCAACCTCACCCAGGCCAAGGGGGCAAGGCCACAGCAGGTGGTGGGAGATGTGGGCAACAGGAGCTCGGCTACCATTGAGAGACAGCCAGTGGCCAACGCTGTAGGACAGAATGAATTAGTTGGGAAGGCTCTGGCAGATGACCGCCAAAAACGACTGCAAGACGTCAAACGTCAAACCCCAAACCCCGGGAGACAGCACCTCCACTACAAAGGGAACCCCGAGCACCGCTCAGAAACCACCAGCACAGGGGCCCCAGCTGGTCGGCACTGCCGGCCCCAGCAAATCAGGAACAACCCGAACTCCATTTCCAGGGGCTCTGGAATCCAGGACTCGATGCTTGCGGTAGCGATAACAGATTCACCTTCAGAATTACCTTTTGCTAAGATTATTATTAAAAACCAGCTTAAGTTCTCCAACAAGATGTTGGCTACCTAAAGGCAGTCAGGTGGGCAAGAGGAGTGCGAACCTAGAAAAGCCAACGCCTTCCTCAGAGTGCCTGAAGGAGGAACCACTCCCCACACACACATATTAACTCCAGTTTTAAAGACTTTTTTAAAAAGAAGCCTTTTAAAAAATGAAAACACAGAACTCAAAATTAAGCCTGATGGGTTTTTTGATTAATTAAGTGTTCCCAAAGCATTCAAATCCTTTCAGTGCTTTTCTAACCCAAGTAAAATTCAACTAAACCAGCTGAGAGAGAAGTTAAAACTCTGAATTAAAAGTAAAAAGGGAGGAACTTAAGGCCATGTTGCTGAACATGCTTTTATTTTTTATTTATTTTTCTAACACTTTTATTGGAGTATAATTGCTTTACAGTGGTGTGTTAGTTTCTGCTGTAGAACACAGTGAATCAGCCATACGTATACATATATTCGAACCCATACCTCCTTCCTCTTGCGTCTCCCTCCCACCCTCCCTATCCCACCCCTCTAGGTGGTCACAAAGCACCGAGCTGATCTCCCTGTGCTATGCAGCTGCTTCCCTCTAGCTATCTGTTTTACATTTGGTAGTGTATATATGTCCATGCCACCCTCTCACTTCATCCCAGCTTACCCTTCCCCCTCCCCGTGTCCTCAAGTCCATTCTCTACGTCTGCATCTTTATTCCTGTCCTGCCCCTAGGTTCTTCAGAACCATTTTTTTTCCAGATTCCATACATATGTGTTAGCATACGATATTTGTTTTTCTCTTTCTGACTTACTTCACTCTGTATGACAGACTCTAGGTCCATCCACCTCACTACAAATAACTCAATTTCATTTCTTTTTATGGCTGAGTAATATTCCGTTTGAACATGCTTTTAAATACTTTACATAAAGTGGATCCATTTACTCACATTTCCATGAGTCCTGAACATGCAGCTCACTGCTCGCTGACGGAAGTCAATACTTTGAGTCAGAATTCCCAGAAAAATATATTTTGTTGGGGTGACTGGGGCTTTGAAGGAACTGAATGCACTAAACCAAGTAAATCCAACCCTCTTAGAAACTATATCCCCACCCAAACAAGCAAAGCAAAAACCTACCTTAAAAGCTACTGGGACCGCTGGAGGCCGACACCAGCCTTCCCCGGTTTCACACACCTCGGCCTCTGATGTTTTGGGGCGGATCCCAATTTGGGATCCCAATTTGGTCTATACTTGGCTTCTGAAAAGCACTTAAAAGACAACACGCGGTCCACTCCTAGGAGAGCAATATCCAGTTAAAATGTAAAAATCCCTTGTTAGCGCTCTGTGGTCATCAGAGAAGAGACGCTGCTACATTCAGTTTAATCACTTTTTCAAACTTGTTTCAAAAACAACAGAACTGTTTTTCATCATGGGGATTTTCCTTTTTTTAAATTAAGTTTACATGATCTTTCGATCATAATAAAGAGGAGGACTCAGGGAACCTCCACTGGGCTTATTCAGCCATTTTCCTAATCGAATAGCCTGAGCATTTTAGTTACCAAACAACTTTCTTACATAAAAACAAAGCAGGCTTCCCTGGTTAAGAATCCACCTGCCAATGCAGGGGACACAGGTTCGAGCCCTGGTCTGGGAAGATCCCACATGCCACAGAGCAAGTAAGCCCGTGCGCCACAACTGCTGAGCCCACGCACCACAACTACTGAAACCCGTGCACCTAGAGCCTGTGCCCCACAACAAGAGAAGCCACTGCAATGAGAAGCCCATGCACCACAATGAAGAGTAGCCCCCGCTCATCACAACTAGAGAAAGCCCGCGTGCAGCAACAAAGACCCAATGCAGCCAAAAATAAGTAAATAAAAAGTTTCCTAAAAAAAGAAAAAAAAACCCAAACAAAGCAATGTCAGCCAAGGGCAAGAAAATCAGTGGTCTCATCTGTTGTGGGTCCAGCCCGTGGTCAGTGGGATGAGCTGTATCTTCTCTCCTGTGCTGGTATTACTAGATTTCCCTGGTATCTCAGGAATTCCTCCCAAAAGAGGAAAAAAGCAATCCCCTCCAGAGGGCCATGCTTCACAAAACTGTCTAAGGGTTACCAAAGTCCTAGTTGAAGCCCCTAAAAACAATGCACACTCTGCCGGTCCTCTGAATGGGCCCCTAAGAACCAGGACCAGGACTCTGCTGTCCAGTGTGGTGCAGAGGCAGCAGGGAGCTAATCCTTCAAAATCCATGTAAACTGTTTCAATACAATAATGATTTCAATTATTTTTGAGTCAAGGAATTTCTCTCTCCCCTCCTGCTCACCCATCTTGGACTAAAGACAATTCTCCAGAGCACTGGTCCCTAACTCACAGGGACCACACTGCCCAGGGGGCTACATCTCCTCCCCAGGTGCTAGCACCCAAGAGGAAAGGAGATGCTTCCCGGCCCGGTGTCCCCCTGGGGGCCTGAGACCGAGCTCTGCACCCGCCTGGCCCCCGCCCCCCGCAGCTGAGGGGCCCTGTCCTCCTATCCGCTCTCTCCCCAAGCTGCAGGCTGAGCCCTCCTCTCCTCCACGAAAAAGGAGAGATGCCAGTGCAATCCAGCTCCGCCCAGATCTTCAGGGAAGACACAGCCCAGCAGAAACTGGCTGAAGCGCAGTTTGTTATTTTCACCTATTGCCCTGGGAGAAGGGAAGAAACTTTGTTGTTATGGGGACTGTCGACGGATCTCCGAGAACTCGCCAATCCTCCCGCAGCCCCACAAGGATCATATTATTGTCCCATTTCACACGTAGAAACTGAAGCTCAGAAGAGTTATTTAACCAGAACAGCACAGCTATTAAATGGAAGGGCCTGGATTTAAAGTCAAGGCTTAATCCAAAATCTCTACAACTCCTCCCAATACATGCTGCGGTCAACTAGGAGAAACACACATTGCTGCCATTTCTTAGTGGCAGAAATACTGAAGCTCTCGTTGGTGTTCATAGCAAATGACGGCTGTGAAATGTGAAAGATGATAAACTGCCTGCGACTCCCCACCTGTCACTCCTGGGGGAGGGGCTGTGCTTTAAGCCCTGCTCTGTTCAGCTTACAGACCAAAGCCCGGTTTAAAGTTTTTGTAAGGCAAGCAGTGATCCACCAGCCACCAAGTTTCTGTTACTGTCACCTGCCCAGCGTTCAGTACTTCCAGGCTAGTTGAAGGTTATTCATTCACCCACTCATTCAGTAGTTTCTGAGCAACTACTTGGGCCAGGCATTGTGCTAAGCGCCAGGAACACGATGATAAACGAAACAGCCCTTGTTTTTAAGGAGCCGTGGCCTGAGGAGGCAGATACACTAAAAGATGATTATAAGACAAACTGTGGGCAGGGGGTGGGGGAGGAGGGAGGAGACATGTACGGGGAAGCAGGGCATCTCACGTCCTGAAGGAGAGCACTGCCTGAAGAGCAGAGGCTTCCAGGAGATGCAGGCAACAGGCAGGCACGGGTCGGGGTGGTCTGAGTCGCGGGGACAGCTGGGCACCCCTGGGCGCCAGGAGCACTGGAGAAGGGGCCAAGGAGGGAGGCTGGGGCTCTGGATTTCAACTCCATGTGATGGGGGTAATGAAGGGCAGCAGGTAAGCCTGCGAAGTGACAGGGCAAGATTTGGGGTTTTAAAAAATGATCTAGTGCAACTGCAGTGGAAGACCATTTGGCGGCATCTATAAAAGCTAAGCCTCTGCGGACCCAGCCACCCGGCAGCTCCACTCCAGGCGGAGGTGCTGCAGAAAGGCGGACGCAGGTTCACCAAAAAGACACTTGGGAGAATATTCCGATCAGCACCATTTAGAATGGCCCAAAACTAGACGCTACCTAAATGTCCCTCAACAGTAAAGTGGGCTAATGAACAGCGGTAAACTGAGAAAAACGCTACAGCAATGAGAACGGACAAGGTTGTTCTGTATAACACGCATAAACCTCAAAGCAATGCTGAGTGAGAGTCAGACAAAAACAGCATATACTGAGTGATTATATATTTACTTTTTTTAAAAAATGAATTAATTTTTTTGGCTGTGCCGTGAGGCTCGCGGGATCTTAGTTCCCTGACCAGGGATTGAACCCAGGCCCGTGGCAGTGAAACCGCCAAGTCCTAACCACTGGACTGCCAGGGAGCTCCCATGATTGTATTTACACGGAGGTAAATCACAGCCCGACTAATCTCTGCTGCTGGATATCAGGACAGAGGTTACCGCTGGGAGGAAAGCGATTCCTGGAAGGTCATGAGGACACCTGATCTAGGGGCTGGGTGCATGGGTGTGCTCCAATTATGAAAATCCATCAAGCTATCTGATTTCTACACTTCTCTGATGTGTGTTATGCTTTCATAAAATATTACATTACATTTAAAGAACACATACAGTAACAGAGAAAAGATTTGTAAGGACAAGACTTAAAACACACAGGAAACCACAGCGTACAAGACAAAGATACATAATGAAGTGCTACACATAAGTTAGTGGAGGTCAGAGGTGAGGGAGACCCAGGCTTCACAGAAGTGGCCTGGCCTGAGCTGGACGGAGAAGCAGATGTTCCCCAGGCCGTGAAATGGGAGGTGCCCCTACTCCACACCCCTCCAGGGCATAAGAGCTAAGGAAGGATCCCCAGGGGGACAGACGCTCCAAGGCATATCACAGTTACTCTCAGCTTGAAGAAACTCCTATCATGGAATGATATCAACTGGAAGCAAACAGATAAACCCAGAATGTGAAACATTCTGTGGAAGAAATTTTTTTGAAAGTAAGGGTGGGACTTCCCTGGTAGCGCAGTGGTTAAGAATCCGCCTGCCAATGCAGGGGACACGGGTTCCATCCCTGGTCCGGGAAGATCCCACATGCCGCGGAGCAACTAAGCCTGTGCTCCAAAACTACTGAAGCCCGCGCTCCAGGGCTGCAAGCCACAACTACTGAGCCCGCGTGCCGCAACTACTGACGCCCGCGTGTCTAGAGCCCGTGCGCTCCACAACAAGAGAAGCCACTGCAACGAGAAGCCCACACACCACGATGAAGAGTAGACCCTGCTCGCCGCAACCAGAAAAAGCCTGTGCACAGCAATGAAGACCCAACGCAGCCAAAATAAATAAATTAATTAATAAAAATAAATTTTAAAAAATATAAAAATAAAAGTAAGGGTGGTTTGCCCTGGATTAAGAGACCTAAGATACATAACAGCCCTGGGTAAGGTGTGGACTTTGTCTGGATTCTGATTTGAACATATCAACTATAAAATGACATTTCTGAGACAATCAGGAAAATCCTACAGGCATATGCCTAGGTAAAAGATGACACCAAGGAATCACAGTTAATATTTTTAGGAATGGATAATGGCATATGGTTCTATTAAAAAAAAAAGCTTACTTTTAAGAGATGCATATGGAAGTATCTGGGGGTTGTGAAATATCATAATGTGTAGTACTTTAAAACACTTCAAGTAGGGACTTGCCTGGTGGTGCAGGGGTTAAGAATCCACCTGCCAACAGAGTGGGCACGGACTGGATCCCTGGTCCAGGAGGATCCCACTTGCCACGGAGCAACTAAGCCCATATGCCACAACTACTGAGCCTGCGCTCTAGAGTCCGCACACCGCAACTACTGAGCCCATGCGCCACAACTAATGAAGCCTGTGCGCTCTAGGGCCTGCGTGCCGCAACTACTGAGCCCGCATGCTGCAACTACTGAAGCCCATGTGCCTAGAGCCCATGCTCCACAACAAGAGAGAGAAGCCACTGCAATGAAAAGCCCACGCACCACAACAAAGACCCAATGCAGCCAAAAAAACAAAAACAAACGAAAAAAATAAAGCATCTTTTAAAAATAAATAAAATATTCAAGTAAAAAAAAAAGGATTAATGAAGCATATGTGGCAAAATGTTGATCATTATTGACTCCGGGTGATAGATATATGAGAATCACTGTACCAGTTGCTCTATTTTTATGCCCCTTGCCAAAAAAGAGAGAAAATATGAACTGCCAACATAAATCAAAGACAGGACATCGACAAACATTAAAGGGTAATAAGGGAATACAGTGAACAACTTTATACCAGTAAGTTTAACAACTTAAAGTGGAAAAATTCCTTTAAAGGCACAAACTACCAAACCTCACTAAAGTAACTATAACTTTTCTATAACTTTTACTCAGAGAGGTAGATGACTTCACTGGTGAATTCTACCAAACATTTAAGGAATAAATAATGCCAGTATTAAATAAACTTTTCCAGAGAACAGAAGAGGAAGGAATACTTCACAACTCCTTTTATGAGGTCAATATTACCCTGATAACAAAACCAAATAAAGACATTCATAGAAAAGAAAACTACAGGCCAGATACCTCTTACGAACATAAATGCAAAAAAGTCCTGAACAAATAAATATTAGCAAATCAAATCTAGTAATATATAAAAAGGATGATACATCAGTACCAAGGACTGTTTCATCCGAGGAATTTAAATTTAATATTTCAAAACTAATCAATGAATCACCATATTAACAGATTCAAACAGAAAGACCTTACAATGATCTCAATAGATGCAGGACAAGTTATTTGACAAAATTCAACAATTCATGATAAAAATTACCAGCAAACTAGGAATAGAACTTCCTCA